TAGTTTGTTAAATTGTACAACAGATTCATTTCAACTAATTATCAGGTTTTTTTTCTGTTTTGTGAAAGAGTGATGTACCATTAACAGTAAAAGGAGAGACTTAAACATGAAGGAAGGCAATGCTTATAGTAGCAATGCTTATTTTCCTGTCATCTTTTTGAGAGTTTTTTTTTCCTGGATACTTAAAAAAGAAAAAAGGAAGGAAGTTCTGTCATTTGCTTCCTCTGTGAGCCTCTAGATAAAATATATTTTGTGGATAGATGTCCTGCCTCTTCTTTCTTTCAGGATAATCTCATTGCTGTTTGGAAAAATTAATGCTGTATTTGAAAATTATTCAAAATATTCTTCGCCAGAGATTTAAGTATGCAGTAAGNACAGCCAAATATTGAAGTCCATAGAGATCCCTCCCTGTCTCAAGGGCAAAACCAAAAACTATAACACTGCTGTGACTTAAATGTCTTGAATAGAGATCTGAATAGCTAGCTTGCTTGTTTAAAGTAGAACTATTGCTTGGGACTGAGGCTCTTTTTTACATTTAAGTTTTAAGTTATAACTTTAATGGGACAAAAAGAAAGAATGGGAGTGATTTACTTAAATGTCACGGTTGTGAAGGAAACTTGTCAGCTCACTTTCTTGCCAAGAACAGGGTAGCTGTATAAAGATAAAGAAACTATTTTCAGTAGAATGGCTTAAATTCAGAAGTGTCTTCAAGTTCCTGCTTATAATGTTCTAAATTGGTTTGTTTTGTGGGTTGTTATTGTTTTTTTTAATGAGAAGGAAAGGCTCCTCTCTTCCTAAGGACTGTGCATGGATCCCCAACCTTAGGGACAGAACCAAAACAGAGAACATACCATCTACAGCATAAACTTAATTTTTTTTAAAATGAGAATCTTGCAATCACACTGTTTATTTATAGTATGGCTTCTGCTTGCCTAAAAATGTTGCAGACTTTCTTTTCAATATGTACAGTAGTTTTCTAACTTTGATGGGAAAGGAAAGTAATAGAGATGTATTTAAACTTTGTAATTGTGAAGAAAACCTGTCGGTTTCCTTGACAAGAAGAAAAAAGAAGCTGCATAAATTAGCACAGTCATAGCAAAACCATTCTTTTTTTTTCTTTTACATTTTTTTCTTTTCTTGCAGCATCTCATTAAAGTATTTTTCTCAACCCCCTTTGAAAAAATGTTAAAATTGTGTGTGGATTCCGTTGGAACTGTTTGTGCATTTTATATAAGGCCACTCAGCTGAGTTTTGCCTAAGACTTTGTGTCTTCTAACCCAGTGCCTTAACCACTACAACAAAGGGGTTCTCGTGATAAATATAATCGATATCCTCAACTTATGACCACAATTGAGCCCAAAATTTCTGTTGTTAACTGAGACATTTGTTAAGTGAGTGTTGCCCCATTTTACAACCTTTCTTGCCACAGTTTTTAGGTGAATCACTGCAGTTGATAAGTTAGTAACACAGTTGTTAAATAAATCTGGCTTCCCCATTGACTTTGCTTGTCAGAAGGTCACAAACGGAGATCCCGTGACTTTGGGACATAATAGTGGTCATAAGGTATGGGTATGTCTAGTTTAATGAAGAGAAGGACGGGGGGGGGGCATGATAGCAGTGTTCCAATATCTCAGGAGCTGCCACAAAGAAGAGGGAGTCAAGCTATTCTCCAAAGTGCCTGAAGGCAGGACAAGAAGCAACGGATGGAAACTAATCAAGGAGAGAAGCAACCTAGAACTAAGGAGAAACTTCCTGACAGTTACAGCAATTAACCAGTGGAACAACCTGCCTCCAGAAGCGGTGAATGCTCCAACACTGGAAGTTTTTAAGAAGAGACTGGACAGCCATCCTGCCTGAGCAGGGGGTTGGACTCGATCTCCAAGGTCCCTTCCAACATCATCATCATCATCATCATCATCATCATCATCATCATCATCATCATCATCATCATCATCATCATCATTATTATTATTATTAGTAGTAGTAGTAGTAGTAGTAGTATGAAGCAGTTGCCAAGCATCTGAATTTTGATTACATCATCATGGGGATGCTACAAAGGTCGTAAGTGTGAAAAATGGTCATAAGTCACTTTTTTCACTGCCATTGTAACTTTGTACAGTCTCTAAATGAACTGTTGTAAGTTGAGAACTACCTGTATTGTGAGCCAAATTGTCTTATATTATGGATAACACAGACACTTTTTACAAATATGCATTATTTTATTCATATTTTGTAATATCTACAATCTTAAATTCTTTATAATTCTGCTTTGTAAATTTAATGCATCCCTAAGTACGGTTGTCAACAAAGAGACTGCAAACTCTGGTGAAGTGTATTTAAGATAAGATAAGATAAGATAAGAAGTTTAATGAATGAAACTCTGGTGAAGTGTATTTAAGATAAGATAAGAAGTTTAATGATAAACATATAACATCTCTCTTAATGTTTTCCTACCTTCTTCACTTTTACTGCCCTCTTGAACTTCTCAATCAACCTCCAGGAGGCACTGCGATCCTAGTGGTTAAGGAATTCCATATTCCAACTTCACCATAGAGTTTTTGGGTGATTTTGAGTCAAACACTGAATCCACTCTCTCTATCCTACCTTACAGGATTTTATTTGGAGATAAAAAATGAGGATAAAATCCCCTTAATGCTACTTCAACTCCCATGGTACAGTAAGACTATTAATAACATATGTAGAAATAAATGACATTTGAATATTTAGTTACTCATCATGGAATTTTTATAACTGGAGAAGAGGCATATCAATACAATCCACTAGTCTGGCATAATTCTTCTTCCAAGATGGAGAAATAATAACTGATATTTGACCTTGTTTACAAGGCTAACTTCAATGATAATCTAATCTATTTTGCTGCTTGAGGCAGAGCATAATACCCTACGTCAATCAAATTATTTTAGCATCTGTGCTTCAGCAGAGCCTTTCCCTGTTTCTGGCAGCAGCATATAATGGTAAACATAATTATTTGGTGCCACTTCATAACATCTATAATATGGAGCCTGAAACATCTGTATTATGGTAAGATCAGTTCTAAACTCTTTGTGGACAAGACTAGGGAGAAGCAGCATTATTTCTGCACTAATCCCATTAGAGGATTGTTTTACTTGCTTTTTTTTAATGTATTGCTTTTTAAATGATTTAGATTATCAATGATTACTGCATTGAATTTTTTCTCTGCTCATTTTCTGCTTTCTGGTGTACTATGCAATTGTGAGCTTCTAGAACACTAAGGACAATAGACAGACTTACAATACTTTAAAATAAATATATCCCATTTTTGTCTCATTCTGTGGCAGGTAGGACACAAACCTCTGTGAGCATATGCAGCGCATTAGCTTTCTTGTACTTTAGAGTTATTTATTTAATCAACATGATGGAACTGGCCAATTCTGAGTGGCTTGTAATAAGAACAACTCTTTAAAGAAAAACCAATAAAATGGCCAAATCAATGGAAACCAAAAAGAACAAGACATGATTATGCAAATTATTCCACAAAACATCCTACGGCTTTGGGAAAGATGCAGATTTTGAGGCTTCTTTAAAGTATGGCCAGGCCAAGGCAATTCAGATCTCTGGGGAATAATATTGTAGAAGACAGGTACCATAACAGAGAAAGCCTGATTCCTGGGAGCCTTTAGATCAGGGATCCCCATCCCCAGGCTGTGGCCTACTACTGGGCTGTAAGCAGTGGTGGGATTCAAATATATGAACAAGCTGGTTCTCCGTGTGGTTGCCGCTTCCGGAAGTCCATTCTGGGCCTGGGCAACAAAAAATAAGCTACCGGTTCTACCGAACTGATGCGAACTGGCTGAATCCCACCACTGGCTGTAAGCCATTCGGAACTGTGCTGTGGAAGTAGTGGGCGAGTGCACATGTATATCCCCACTTGCACGAGCAGCGGGCAAGCACGTTTGTGCATGCTCCATTTGCATGAGCGGCAAGTGCATGTGCTTGCCACTTACATGGAACCATCCCCTCTCCCCCCCGCCTGTCCACAAAGCCAGAAAGTTTGGGGAATTCTGCTTTGAATGACATTGACTCAGAATATATACCCACTGGGCTGAAGTGAGCAGAAACAATGAGAGAAAGGTGGTTCCACAGATAGTCAAGCCCTATGCTATGAAGGATCACCACCCTACCTTGAATTCCATCCAGAAACTCACCAGTAACCATTTTAGCTTGCACAGAAAACATGTTCCATGAGTATTTTGAGGTATGCCCACAACTGCTGATGCAGCTCCATTCTGGACATGTTACCATTTTCTTCATGCAGCGTGTTGTGTGATCAAACTGCTATGGGAATTGATGTGTTTTGTGTTTGAAATTTGTTGTGAAAGAAGTTGCAGTAGAAAACCCATACCCTCTGTTCAGCATTATGGTCATATTATGCTCCAGTGATTCATTGTTCCCTGATAATTTTCTTTGTTCAGTTGACTTTATTGAATTCTTTATAGTTGCTGATAAAGAAATAGTTGGAGGTTAAAAATGCCACTAATTGTAGTGATTACATTGGTTTTGCAGAGCTGTAAGCAGGAAGAATAATGTCAGTACATGTTTATTTCTGTGGCTGCACTAGTAAATCTATCGTACATTGCAAATAATAATAATAAAGTTGGATACAAGGCAGAAAATAAAGCAACATTGATTTTGATAATGTTATTTATTATCTTCATTCTTGTGTAATACAAAAAAGCATTGAAAATGAGAGAAATGCAAAACTTGTGTAAACTCTAAGGGAAAGAATAGAGTAAGATATATGGCAATTAAGGCACTGGCAGTGAGATAAATGCAGATAATGTCTGTTTTGTATTGACCAGGTCTCCTTTGCTAAATAAATGTTATATATTATTAATGTCATTTAGAGTGGCAGATAAAAACACAGACTATATTTCTTATATGTAATGAAGTTATACAGCTAAATTACATATCCCTAAAATTTCTTCTTTATAGATGCGTTTCATTTTAAAGAAAAAGCAATTTACAGTCAGCTGGAGTGTCTGTTCTATATTGTTGTATTAGATTCAGATTGTGTGAAGATGAATAGGAAAGTGCAGCAAGCATGACATCTCTGGCCAACATCGTTCCTTCCCCACAGTCTGAGTGGGTCTCCTTCAGTGATGGACTTCACCGTTCTGTTACTTCCCAAGGTAAATCTCTCCTCTTTGATGACAAAGGTTCTTGCTATTTATTGAAACGAATAAGCATTTCAATTCAGCTATAGTCGAAAACAAAAATCTCCTGTGGCTTTCAATGAGTACAAGTTCTGCATATGTACAATTCTCCGTCCTCATCCCCCCCACCTGTGGGATTCTATCACTTACCAGAAGAAGACTCCTTAAAAAGACTTAAGGAAAACATTGTGTATGTCCCTTGCGATTATCCTGATCTCCTGATCAGATCCCAGATGGTCCACTATAAAATGTAGTAACAGTTATGGAAGCAAGTATAAGGGACAGCTAGGAGTGTCCACGGTAATTTTAAAAATGTAAAATTTAAAATTATAAAAAATTGGAAGTTTCCAGCATTTTTGAACAAAAAATTGTTGGATTTTGGAATGAGAATTGTTAAATCTTGCGAGAAAATTGAAACTGGTAAGATTTCAGGTGATTAAAAAAAGATTTTTGAGAAAAGAAGCCTAGTGTCAAAACTGTTGTCTAATGCTGAAATATAATATTATAGTGAACCGCATCAGCCATTAAGCTCATTGGGTAAATTTGGATCATTCACTCAGTATATCACAGAAGATGGCAATGAAGATAAAATGAGGCCATGATGTCCAGTTTCCTTGGCTTCTGGAAGGAAACAGGATAAATATAGTCCTAAGGATCTGATTTCAGTTAAGTAACTAAGACATAGTAGATCATGGTTTAAAAGGAGAAAGAGAATGCAGTAGTATGCTTTGACACAATTATGTTTAAAGAAATGAGAATTGTATTAGTGTAAATTGAAATATTGGTCAAATGAAACCATTTGTGGGATTTCTTCCACATCTACAGTTCTATGGTAACCTGGGCAGAACTTTTTGTTACAAAAATTCAAGGCTAAGGAGTTTCTGTAACAAAAAGGAAGAAAGTAGCAGTCCTTTGCTAATTTTCCTTTTCCTCCTGTAGTATCTTCACTTTACACCCCATATGTTGCCATTTTAATATGTATTTGCCCATTTCTTCTACATAATAACTGAGTTCTATTTGACAGTGCTCTGTTGAATAAGCTTTGTTGGCTGGATTTAGTTATAACATAAAGTCATAGACCAGGGCTTAGATTTCACAAAAGTTGAGTTTGTATGTCTTACTAATCAGTCCAAACAAACATAGGGGAGTCTGAAGGTAGAAGCAGAAGAGAGTATGAAGATACTCAGTTTGACTACTGTGTTTTCCTCTTCAGCAAACACAGAGCTTTAAAGTCTTCTTTATTGTTCACATACCATATGTTAATGGATGATAAAGTTGTGCGTCCTTCTTAAACAATTAGTGTGATGTCATATTACTCATCTTTATAGTGGGGTTCTCATTACAGGTTATACTAGGGAGCCACTTGAGAGATTTCTTTCCTCCTCTGATACTTCCTCTGAAGGCAACCAAAATCTAGATGGAGAACTGCCAAGTCTTTCACATGCTGAATTAGGAGAAAGAATAAACAAAACAGCTGTAGGCCTTGATCTGTCTTCATCCTTCAGCACGTGGGTCCAGTTTGAAGATGCACCCTGGACCAACAGTTCACCAGAGCATCCATGTACAGGTTGGAATGTCACTTGTTTATTGTGTATTATAGCAGGAATTAACAATAAGTCACATTACCTTTTACCAATCTGATACTCTCTGATGTTGTAGATTAGAATTCCCATCATCACTCAATTAGTATTCACAAACTAATGGATATTAATTGGATTAATGAGGAAACTGGGATGGTAATATATAGTTCAGCTTCTTTCAGTTGGAGAGTTTGGAAGTTTCTGTACTGTTTGACGTAGGATGTTTAAGACTCAGCTTGTTATGTGGATGCTTCTTAAGCATGTTGGTAAAGGAATCAATTTTCTAAGCCTTGATGTAAAGCATTTCTATTTTACAGAATTGTATGTATATATTGATATTGCCCAAAATCAATGTATCATCCAGATATTGTACAGGAAAATTGTAAAATGCTTTCCACACAGATTGTTGGTTATTGCCTTATTTGCTAAGTTTTTGGTAGGGGAACAATGGGTGGTAGTTGTTCTAGACCAGACATGTCAAACTTGCGACGTCACATGATATCGCGCAAACATATCGGAGCTTTTTCACGATTGCCGGCAATGGGGTGGGCGTGATTTCCCGATGACACGTCTGGCCCGCGGGCCGGTAGTTTGACACCCCGGTTCTAGACTCAATGTATGAAGGGGACCTAACTGAATTTTGATTCAGTATTTCAAACAATTGGATGAAGATATGTTTTTCATTTAAGCTAATCAGTAAAACTGTAACATCAAAGGATTGGGTTTCATACAGACTCTTGTTTCTGGAATATAAATAAATATAAATAAATAAAACAAAATAATTGTTGATCTAGGACTGTGGTGACGAACCTATGGCACACGTGCCAAGGTGGCACGCACATCCCTCTCTGTGGGCACGCGCGCCATCACCCCAGGCCTAGGCCTTCAGCTGGGTTTTATAAAACCTTTTCACTTTAGGCTTCCGCCGCCATGTGCAAAAAAAAAAAAAGGTTCAATCAATCAATCAATTTCAACTCGCGGGAAAAAAGAGATCTCGCAAAATTGGAATTGATTGATTGAACTTTTTAGTCCCACCTAGTCTGTTGTTACCACCGCAGCCACGCCCACCCAATGGGCCACGCCCACCCAATGGGCCATGCCCACCCAATGGGCCACGCCCACCCGGCACCCAACGATACATAAGTGGGTTTTGGGTTGCAGTTTGGGCACCCGGTCTCTAAAAGGTTCGCCATCACTGATGTAGGATGTGGTGAAAAATAGGGGAACTAAATTAATATTTCATCCTAGTAATCAGAGTATTTTTCTTTCGTTTTATTTTTTTTTAAAAATAAATATTTTTGAAAAGCTTTGCTAGATGAAAGAGTTTCACAGACTTGAAATATGAAGACAATTATTTCTTTTTTGTTGCTGATTTAGAAACAAACATAGAGTCCAATTTAGAAACAAACAACTTTAGCCCTTTTTCACCAGCTTTCAGCATCAGGGCCAGAAGGAAATTTTCATTGCTATCTGATTGTTTTTTTAATATGGAGATGCCTTTTGTCTTGCACATATGTGCTGCATTACCAGTAACAGGTATATTACTGATTAGATTGCAGTTTTTAAATATGTAATGTTGAGATTAAAATACTTATTATCTTTAACTTTTAAAAAAAAATAAAGATTTCTATGTTTTCATCTAATTATGCAAATAATGGAATATGAAATATGACTAGTATGGTATCAATGGGATGATAGGGAAACAACTAAATGACAACTTAAGAAGTGACTTTGATCATCTCCTCTAAGTTCTTTGTCTCCTGTGGAAAAATTTCAAGCCAGTTGGCTATCCATTAGATTTACTGATTTACACCCTGGAATTTATTGAGGCATGAAAACTAGAGTTAGAAAACATCTGTTTTGATTGCAATGTGTAGCTTACACTCTCCTCAAGGATTTTGTCTGATAAATAACAGCCCTGGTAAATAATAACCTGATAAAATAATTCAGGTGACAAGGAAGTTATTTCACATCCTTGGAAAGACTTATTCACAATAGGATAAATCTCACATGACACTTATTATCTAGCCTGGTGCTAAAAAATATTAAGTTGGAGTTATAGCAACAGAAAGAAAGCAATAACAAGAAATGAAGATATATTAAAGGTACTGTTTGGTGTCAGGGTAAAAGCTTATTGCAGTTGCTGAAAGTGTTGTCAGCAGTCCAGTCTGCTTTAGTGTAACTTGCTTTCAAATATAGAATAGCACTGCAAGGACACAGTATGGCCAGAAATATTTGGGATGAATTTCTCAGAAAAAAATTAAACCAGGTAGAATTTTATTTCGGGGTGTATGGAATGATAGCTATGATTTTAATAGTCGTACTGGTAATTGTTTTTTGAATATGTGATTTGATAGCTATAACCATATTCAGATACTCTTGGAGTATGAACAGATGAATGTTTACAGACATGAGACAAGGATAATAAAAGTGGGGGCAGATGTTCTTAGCCTTTTCCCATGCATATATCATTCCTGTGTGAACATATAGACTATGCATATGAAAGTTTTATATATGTACTGCCTGACATTCTGTTTACAAAAAAAAAGTTTAGAAATGTTGTATGCATGCGATCGAATAACCTATATTAAAGGTTACTTTGAATGTGATCTACAGCAAACCTCAAACTTCCAGGTTTCTTTCCCCTACTCCTTCCAGCAGAGTTAATTCTCCAGAAGAGTTAAGAATTACTAGCTTCAGATTTAGTAATTCTATGTGGGATGAGGATGAGAATGCAACTAACAAATCAGAATATATGAAACAATATTTAAGGGAATGCAATCTTAAATTCAATAATAATTCTGTCATCATAATAAGGTGGAAGCCACTTAAATCCCAAATCATCAGGATAAATCTGGCATTACATCATCTGTCTCAGGAAGTTAAGAATTGTTCTATATAAGTTCCATTTTTCTCTGTTAATATTAATCTTCTTAATTTATAGAAGCATTCAATCTGCCTAACACCAAAAGTTATCACCTAGAAGAAATCTGAAATGTGTTAATAGAATTGGTTTTGTTCTGCTTTGTTCTCTGTTCTGTCTGATGTCATATAGACTGTTACCTTCTTTATGACCAACTTCAGCTTTTTTTCTGAGCCAATCTAACTGGCTTTATCATTTCTGTGCTGTTTGTGTCCTTATATAAAAATTGGAACTATACAGCACAGTTAATAGGCATTGCCCTGTTACAAATCAAGTTAAGTTATACTCAGCCAAAATTTCTCTCGGTAAGAACATAGAACATAGAATAATAGGGTTGGAAGGAACCTTGGAGATATTTTAAGTAAACTCTCTGATCATGGCAGAATATCCTATACCATTCCAGACTTTCTTTGTGCTTGATGGGATGGATGCATGTGACCATAGAATAACAAAATAACAAAACAGAATAATAGAGTTGAAGGAACCCCGGAGGTCCTCTAGTCCAACCTCCCCACCCAAACAGGAAACCCTATAACATTGCAGACATAGCTGTCCAAATTCTTCTTAAAAACCTCCAGTGATGGAGCACCAACAACTTCTGAAGGCAAGCCATTCCAGTGGTTAATTATTCTCATTGACAGGAAATTTCTCCTTATTTCTAGGTTGCTTCTCTTGTTGATTAGTTTCCATCCATTTCTTCTTGTCTGCCCTCAGGTGCTTTGGTCAGTGGGTTGACCTCAACTTCTTTGTGGCAGCCATTCAAATAGTGGAAGACTGCTATCATATCTCCCATAGTCCTTCTTTTCACTAAGCTAGACATATCCAATTCCTGCAGTCTGTTTTAGCCTCCCTAATCATCTTTGTTGCTCTTCTTTGCACTCTTTCTAGAGTCTCAACATTTTTTTTTATACTGTCGCGACCAAAACTGGATGCAATATTCCAAATGTGGTCTTACCAAGGCATTAAAAAGTGACACTAACATTTCACTTCTCCTTAAACATTTCATTTTTCCTTCATTTCTTCCTTAAAAAGACTAAGGAAAACCTTGTTGTTGTTGTTAGTTGCGAAGTCGTGTCCGACCCCTCACGACCCCATGGACAATGTTCCTCCAGGCCTTCCTTATGCATAAGTAAATTCCTTGCAATTATCCTGATCTCCTGATCAGATCCCAGATGGTCTTATTTTTAGGATGAAGTTATCACGTATCATGCAGAATGTTCTCTAGTTTAGAAAACCTTGTCCATCTAATGAAAAGACAACCTAGATAATGGAAGAATTTGTGTCTTCAGCTGTTATTTGTGGCCATCATTTTCATTTCATCTTTTCAAACAGAATGGCTTGGCTTTCTCTTTATGCTCATGCGCACCTTAAGCCAGAAATGGAGAGCTAATTAGGAGCATCATAGTCCTTCTGATGTGTGCGATCAGTTTACAACCTCTGAAAACAGAAAATGGCAAAATTTTAAAAATTAAAATAGTACAACAAAGACAGATTTAAAAGAAATAGGTTTCAGAAGGGAAACAGTAAGCAAAGGAATAAATACTGTATAGGTCTATCTGATATGAGGGATTAAATCTCAAGAAAGACTAGTTTAAAAGAAACTGGTTGAGGAATGGGCAAAATAAAATCAAATGCTAATACCATTCAGTCAAATTATTCACTACACCCAGAGGTCCAAATAGATTAGATTTCTTTCTGTTTCCTGCAAGATTTCTCTTCATATTTTGCAGGAAATCTTTTCTTCTGGACAGCCATCTATGTAAAATCCAAAATAGATGATGCCACCAGAAAGTTTAATTCAAAGGGATGAAGGGTGGGAAGATGTTTGTACTCAGGGATTACCCAAATGATCCTCCAGATTTACTTTCCCAGAGGTAGAAGGGATTCTGACACATTCTGACCTAACAGGAATCTCTAGCAGGTTGAATTGCTATATGTGTCCACATTTTATTTCCCTGCCTAGTTCTCCCATGATACGAGTGTGTATATGATTCTATGGGCTTAATGGGGAAAGGCTGGCATGCGCTTCCTCTCTCCCTTCAGCTCTCAGAAATGGTATATTCCCATGTCTCAGTTTTCCTGGCATCTTCCATTCCTTCCCTTCCCTATTTCCTTCCAACCACCTTGATCAGGGTTCCAGCACAGCATCTTGCACTGCCTTCTATCCTCAAGTCTTCTATCTTCAAGCTCCAATGCCTTTACTTCCTTTCCCTCCTCCTCTCCCTCCCTCCCTCTGCCACTGCTGATAATATCCCATTCCACCAGTCTGTGTTCTCCTAACCTTTCCAGCACTGCCTCTGTCCTCCAGCACTTGCCTGTGCCCCCTTAACAGCTGCTAACCCTGACCTTTGCCTGCTCTGACTTTTCCCCTTAAAACACTTGTGCCCGGAGCATTGCCTTTTCTTCCTAATCCAGGACAAAGCAGCCCCATTTTGCCTATATCTGGACTAAATGAATGTGTTTGGTCTGGAAACAAGGTCCTTGACAAGCCACAGGTTCCATGTTCTGCGCATTCCTGTCGTATACTTGATAACCCCTTTGCATGGAACTCTTTTTATTCCATTAAGTTTAATAAAATTATTTTTTTTTTCTTTTAAGCCTCATCTCCAAAAATATTTTGTTGGATGTGTCCCTCCTTGGAATATTCAGAGAGACAACCTCTTACTTCAGAGAGCAGTTGGACAACTACTTCAGAGAACAGTAGCAGCCCAAGTATCACCCCTTCCTACACTGATCTTCAATCAATAAATACGGAGGATTTGGTTAGTGGAAGAGCATCTGCTGCAGACTCAACTGGTAAGCGACATATTTATTTTATTTTATTATTTTATTTTATTTTATGTATTTGTAGGTTTTATCATTCCAGACAACTCTAGTCATAATTGGCCAAATTTTGTTGAATAAACTTATATAATTCAGGATATTTGTTTCCAGTGAATCCCCATCATAAGGAAATACTCACACTTCAGGCAATGTCAAGTAAGCCAGTTTGTCTTATTCCTACATTCTGGATGCTGTTATTCCAGTTATCAAAGTCCAGCAATGAGGTGGCAGATGGTTTTGTTTTTTTTTCAATATAAAATTTTTATTATTTTCATCATAAAAAAAAAAGAAATACATCACAGATATTACACAATGTTATATCCCATCCCCCCGCCCCCCGGACTTCCCAAACCAAACCTAGGCAAATATTCAAATACAAGTAAACAAATATTAATATCTCTAACTCCAAACTCTAAACTTAAACAATCCATCTCCTCCG